CACCGGGGCGAGGAATATTTGAAGTTGTTCTCTACTTCATGTACATAATTGGCTTCCAATTAAGGGTAAAGCGATAATTAATTTCGCGTTTCCTGGCTTGGTGGCTGGATTATTTTTTAATGAAAGTAAAACTAGTGCGGCGTGTGTGTGTTTGGGGTGTTTCTTCATTTCCTCTTCTGCTTACAGCAGCGTTGCCGTGTGGAAGTGTAGTAATTGAGAGATGTAGACGTGCCTGGTCTTCATATCTATGCTGTAGTAGTTTTCTATTGCTCCTTATTTCTCCCCAGATATTTTTGTGTGTGTATCTTATTTTTTTTACAGTCATCGCTGAAAATGTTTGCTTTGTAATGAGGTAAATGCAGAAGCACTACTCCCTGGTTAAACAGTTTTGTGAATGGGATCTGGCATAAAATCTTCTTGAGCTGTGATTTATTGTATGCAAAGTGGAGACCAACTATAAATATTTAGATCCAAGTATAACTGATGTGTGTTGTAATGAGACTGCTGAAAAAAATGTAAAAAACGTTGACACAAAACTCCGAATGGGAGGAAAGTAACTGTTTTATCTGTTTTACTTTTCAGTATCATAATGGGAAAAGTCTATTACGACATCCACACAGGGAAATAATACTCAATCCATGTGACAATGTAAATTTATGTTCAGCAGCGGTATAGGAAGAGAATCTGTATGTATGTTGAACAATGGGAGAGGAAAAAATATCAGTGTTCATAGTTTTTGTACTTCTTTGTCAAAGAGATGTTATGTCCAAATTAAGAATGATATTGACATATTTTGAAAAAGTGGTGGATCTGGTTTATCCTTACTAGCATTGATATTTGCTGTTGTATAGCGCTTGATGTCTGGTAATATATCACTCAATTGTAAAAAATTAAAATTAAAACAAAAAAAAAGGTGAGGCTTACCTTGTTGGTCAATATACCGCTCAAGCTTTTTTGTGATAATATTCTTCTGTTTGCTTTTCACTGCGGTCTTGATTCTGGTTTTTGCCCCGCAAATATGTTTTAAATATGTGGTTGAAGCACTCTTCCTTTCAGTCGGAAAAAGGAGATGCCACTGGTATCTGCAACTGGAAGACTGGATATTATCTGGAAATCAATGAGCCCAAGAACTGTCATCTTGGCCTTTCAAAGGGACAAGGATGTCTCTCATTTTACTGAGAAATGAAGGGGATTTTCCAGTTTTGTGCATTACCTTCTCAGAAATGGAAAATGTATATAGAGTGGATTTTAAATTGAAAATTTAATTGGAAAAAGATCTAATTAAAGGCTTTGCACATAATTTGTCTTTTGTGGGACTAGAAGTTCTCTAATTTACAGTGCTTTGTTTAATCTACTTTAAGTTTTATCAGTAGCAATCAAGTTGTGCCATAAATCTGAAACTGCTTTATGCTTTGTTCTCTTAGTTGTTTCAGTATAATGAAGCAGCTTATGCTTTAAACCCTCAGTTAAGTTTGTAGGGCCTTTTTAAGTTCAGGGAAGCTATGTGCTATAGTAAGATAGTAGCAAAAATTCACAGGTAGAAATTGATAATTGATCATGTAATTATTCAGCAGTTCACTACGCACACACAATTACACGTATTTAAAGAGGTATCATCTTGAAACCTAATCAGCACTTTAAAAAGGACATAATATCAGTTATCGCCTTTGTCCTTAAGGGCTGAGGGTTGGTTTTACTTCCTTTTATGTTCAGCATTTCTTTTTTTATAGCTTACATTCCTCTGTTGTTTTGCCAGGGGAAAAATGTACAACTTTACATAAGTAGAACTGAAAAAGATGCTTTTTGGTTCAACGTCTCGGTTGAGGGTAAGAGTTGTAAACAAGTTATAAACATGATAGGTGCAAAATACCACGAGTACTGCTGCCAAAATTGTATCCAAACAAATATTTCTTGGAGGGGCAGAAGAAACCCAAGTGGAAATAAATTTACAAGTGCTTTCTTGCTGTCCTTTCCCAAGATTTTTCAGAGCTACATCCCATCCTCTGTGCCTAAGAGGTGTATGGTTCCCAGGAGTGAAAAGATGGGCCACATACCTCCTCCTGGATCTCAATAGGCCAGCACTTGAATGTTCCACTGCTCACAGCTCCTTTAAAAAAAAAATTAAAATAAAAAACTTCAAAACTGTAATGGATTAAAATCCTGTGAAAGTGTAAGAAATATAACTAGTCACCAGCTCTGCAGAAATTGAAAGTAATATTGATACAGTTTTGATGGAAAGTTCTGCTTTCTGTGTGTAGTTTTGGGTTGTGTTTGTTTTTTGGTTTGGGGTTGGTTGGTTTATTTGTTTGTTTTTAAATCACCTATTTAGTTCTTCAAGTTATTTCTTTGAGACTAAGTGACAGGACTTCTTTTCTTTCTGGAATGCTTCTTGACTTTCTTCTGCCAACCAGAACTTTTGCCTCTGTTACAGATATGAACAATGACCATAGTTAACAAGCCAAAATCTTCAAAATCTAAAAAATCGTCATCAAGGCGGTCTGACAAATCTAAGAAACCCCGTACTAAAAAAATGACATCACGCACCGCAAATTTGGGCCGGGTACCACCTGCAGAAGATCCAAACAAAGTCTCTGTGGAAAAAGGACCTGGAGGTGCTATTTATTGTAGATCATCTCAAAAATCTAAGCCTTTTGCCCAAAGAGATCTAGGTAAGTGTGTCTTTTGTCATTCCCCCCTTTTTCTTAAAACAAAACCAAAAGTAGAAAATGCAGTTCTTACTTGTTGCACTGCTATAAAAAAAGGCCTACGACGAATAAAGATTTCAGTAGTAGACTTCAATTTTGTGAATCCCTTAAGGCAACCAAAGTGACTGCCATTGCAAAACTTAGTTTTAGCTATTTGCAGTCTATTTGTAACTTAGTTTTGACCTATTTACAATTAATTATGGGCAGCTTTTTATAATACACAGACTTATCCAGGTCTCTTGTGTTATGCAGAGAAAAGTATTTTTTACCATTGCTATTCATGGCCTCTATTATTCACAAGTCTTTGAATGATAACACTGTTCAGGAAGAGATCTGATATCTATAGTGTTACCTTCTGTGCTAGGTGGGTTTTTTTCTTAGTTCTTGTATTTATTACCATATAATTACAAGTGTAAGTTTGTGGTTTAGGTTGCGGTAAGGAAAAAAACAATAATTAAATTAATAATCAGATTAAAAACTATAGAATGGGAAGAAACCTGGCAAAAGTTACTGAAATTAGAGTGGGAGTTTGTCTTGCATTAGAAGAATTAAAACAGATGAATAAACTATTGTCCAAAACAGTGTGTTGACCAGCAAATTCGAGTGGCAGTGTTAAAGCTGTGCGTCATATGGTTTTGAGTTTTGGAGTATAGCTGGTTCTTCTGTGTGCTCCTGCAGAATGCTACTTTTTACATACTGTTTTTAAAACAAAACAATTTTCTTGCAGTTGTTAATGATGGAATTGCCCCGCCACAAAGGATTCTTTTTCCACCTGAGAAAATATGTATGGATTGGCAACAAACACAAAGTGTTGGAGTTGGACTGCAGAATCTCGGCAACACATGTTTCCTTAATTCTACTCTTCAGTGTTTGACCTACACACCTCCTCTCGCCAATTACATGCTTTCTCTTGAACACACCCAGTCATGTGAGTACTTTTGAACATTATTATAAATCTGTTGGACAGCTCTGAAGGTGAAAGAACAGCAGTGATTCCGTGAAGAAAACTCTTATCTGTCCTATTTTATCTCTAGAAGCTGGCTTTGAATATGATCTTAAAGGTCTTTTCCAACCTAAATGATTCTATGATCATATTAACAGGAGGCTCAGAATAACACGTAAAGTTCATTTGTTCATTTAATGCACCATGCTAAAACTTCAAAAAAAGATCATTTCTCGCTTCATGAGAACAATGAAGTGAATTGTAAAGTGAGGCATTTGATGAACATTTGGCATTTGGGTTTCCTGCTGGTAGAAAGGTGATAAAATTTAGGATGTTGCCGTTGTAGATTCTTAGTCTTTGCAGCCTAGACACTGTAATGCACTAATACTGTGATAAATGGTATGTTCACTGTTGACCCATTAAAAAAAAAAACAACACCACCCTAGAAAGCACTATGAGCTAATCTCTTATTATCTCAAATAGAAATTTGTGTGGGATTGTAATAAAATTCAGACTGATTTTATTCTAAATAAAATTTTCTGTTTTTTAAACCCTTGAATTGGTGTTCTCTTAAGCGTAGGAGCCTCTTTTTGTATCCATATATATGTATTTTTACAAAGGCACCTGTATGCTTTCTAGTCTGGTATCTTAGTATTTATTCCTAGAAGTTTAACTGTGTTTTCTTACCATACATGAAAATGATTTCAGTTAAGAATTCTGTTGAAAAAAGGAGGGCAGAAATACTAATACATACATTCCTTTAATCTTTCCTTTCTCCCAGAGGATTCTTAGCTCTGTGTCATGTAGCTCACCTAACAGCAGTGTGCTGAAAATAACACACATTCTCTCTTAGTGCTGTTTCATCAATGTCAATATTGCTTCCTCATATATTTTCAGTCTGTACAGACCTCACGTTCCTGTCAGCCTGCAAAAAAAATGACATTGCAGTAGTTACTTAGATTTCTCATGAGAAAATGCGCTTTAATACATACTTAATCAACATTTTATTCTATACAGTTTTGCGTAATAAAATGTCACAAAACTGTTGGGATATTGACACCTTCGGAGAATAGAATGTAGCATGGAGAGTGGATATTATACCTATAACTTAAAGTTTTGGGGGTTTTGGGGTTTTTTTAGTTGTTTTTTGTAGCAATGTGTATTTGACTAGACTGGGATGCTTTCTTCTTTTACTCTTCAGGTCATGAAGAAGGCTTTTGTATGATGTGCACAATGGAAACTCACATTAACCAGGTCCTGTGTTGCTCTAATAATGCCATCAAACCTACATCTGTTATCAATGGCCTTAAAAGTAAGTAATTTCAGACCGTTTTATTTTTTAATGTTTTTTAATTTTTCAAAGAATTCTTTGATACATATAAAGGATTTTGATACTTTATAGAAGAGAAACTTTAGAAATATGAGTTTTCTTTCATTTTCTATGAGATAAATGTAATAACCCTCTTATTTATTAGGAATAGGAAAACATTTCCATTTTGGCAGTCAAGAGGATGCACATGAATTCTTATGCTTCACTGTTGATGCTTTGCAGAAAGCTTGCTTAAATGGAAGCACCAAGTAAGCATAAACAAATCAACTTTTAAATGTTCTCTAGCCCCTCTTACTCCTTTATTTACTATCATAATTTAAATCTATGTCCTTGGTTTTCGTAAAAAGAAAAACTTTTTGAAGAGTTAGCTCTGTGCCTTAAGTCTTCTGAGGTCTGATTATAATTTATTTCCAGATTGGACAGATCTTCTCAAGCCACCACACTTATTTATCAAATATTTGGAGGATATCTAAGATCCCGAGGTACTTTTTTAAAATCTTACTGTCCTTCAGACTGTCCTGTGTCTTTTTCATAAAATCATAAAATCTTTGGGGTGGAAGGGACCTTAAAGGACATCTAGTGTAACCCCTCTGCAATGAGCAGGGACATCTTCAACTAGATCAGGTTGCTCAGAGCCCCGTCTATCTGGAGTTCTGTAAGGCCTTTGACAGTCCCCCACAGCATCCTTCTGTCTAAACTGGAGAGCTCTGGATTTGATGGTTGACTTGTCTGTAGTAAGAGAGTTTGTAGTTTGACTAAAGTAATATGTATTAATAATTTAAATTTGCAGCTAGTCTCCTTCACATATTGTTAAGCATTTGTATTTTGATTCCAGTAAAGTGCTTGAACTGCAAAGCTGTTTCGGATACGTATGAACCATTCCTCGATATTACTTTGGATATAAAGGTAAGATGTTTTGTAAATATGAGTCAAGATGTGTGAAGACTTGTAGAGCTTTCTAAAATAAACTAATTTTACTTAAAAATACATACTGTTAAAACAAAAGAGCTTGTGGTGGACGGGAGTGGACTGGACTTTGTACTTCTGTGAAAGCCATGTAAATGGTCTCCATGTTTGCATTGAATTTAAGATGGGAAAATAATTATATTAATAATTGTATCTACACAAACAATGATACTATCATACTTCTTGATTATTCTACTTCAATATACATCTATTGTAGACCGATGGGTTTGATTGTTCTCATTATTGATGCCAAAGTATTCCACAGATGCTGTCTGTGGTATTGCAAAATTTATTTCAAAGTAGAATCATTTTCAAATGAGGTAAATGCTCAGTGTACTCTGTTTCTGCCTCCTTCACAGTGTTTTCTGGTTCACAGTAGGTCACTAAAGTATGAACTAGCAAGGTTCTCTTGTAAACTACTAGTAAGTGTTTGAAACTTTGCATTTCCCGTGACTTAGTGCTCTACTTTCTTACTCATCCAGGCAGTTACATCTGTCACCAGAGCTCTAGAACAATTTGTGAAACCGGAACAACTGGATGGTGAAAATAGCTATAAGTGTAGCAAGTAAGATTATTACTAATTACGTCTTAATAAAAGATACACGTTTAATGTATTGCATGCCTTAGAGCATAGGTTATCTTTTGACTTCGTTTAGAAATGAGACACAGCTCTCTGTTCTTTCATGTAGTTTTGTTTATACAGCTAATACACTGAAATCGTTCAAAGCTTAGAAAATTATACATTTGTTTCTAAGAGAGTAATTTTTGTGTTTCTGTTTGCATATTTGGAAATATATTATAAGAATTGCGGCCATTAGCAAATTAGGACTTTTATTCCTGGTATTGTCTACACCGGGGCTTGTCAGCCTTTGTAAGTGTGCAGTTGCACACTGAAATATTCACATGGCCAGAAGTGAAAAGGTATGTCTGATGAGTAGTGGTGAGCTGAAGTATGAAGCTATGGACAATGATTTGGGGTGGGAGGCAACTCAGCTTCCTAGTGTTCACTGTGAAACAAAGTGAGATTGGATCTCAGTGAATGTGAACAGACTCAATGATAATTAACATTAGCAACCTCTGATGGCTTATTGAACAATGTCTTTCACAGCTCTTGAATTGTAAAACCTGTGGACTATTGTTGTCCAAAATGAGCCACCCTAAACCTAACCTATTCTTAGTGAACGCATATGGAGTTAAGATGTCCTATATGCTGACCAATATGTAAAACATTTCTACATATGTAAGAACACTGAACATGTGCATAAGATACATTGGCAAAACAAGATGTTATTCAAACATAAACTCAGAAAAGCAAAGGCTGCCAAGCTCAATTCTGTAACTTTCCTGTCTGATCCTTCTAAATAAAAAATGCAATACTTCCTTTTTGTTGTTGGAAAACTATAAGTTGATTAGTACATTTGCATGCAGATGTTGAAAAAAGAGCATCCAATAGGCTGTTACAGCAGTTTAATACTGGGCTCAATTTTGTCTGTGGATCCTCGCAAGCAACATGTAACGTATGAAGAATTGTCATAGTTTACAGGTTACGGCTGAGGAAGAGTAAGATAACTGTGAGAAGCACCTCACATCTGAATTGCGTGACCCTTCATTAATGTGGGGTGCAATCAGTTTAGTCACACATATAAACCCTGAAGTTTCAGTCTTTCTGTGAGTTTAAAAGGAAAGCTTTAGCATATATACAGTATCTTTTCCATTGCTGGTAATCCATTCTATTACGTTTTCCCTAATAAACATTTTCCTTCTCTTTTCTATCATGAATTTTTCTAATAAAGGTTACTGCCTCAGAACTTTGTACCTAATTACAAGTTTCACAGAATTTTATAAAACACTGATTTTTTTTTTTTTTTTTTTTTTTGCTTATTCTGGGTGGTTCTCTTTTGTTCATAGGCATTCTCTATCCGTTTGGAATTCTCTGCCTTGTATTTTGACATCAGAATTTGAAAAGAGACTATTTAGTTCTTTCTATTTTTTAAGTATCAACAGTCTTTTTCTTGATGATGTAAACTGACAGGTTGCGGTCTTTCTCTGTGCTAGTGGTTGAATTTCAGGGCTTAACTCCGTACATACTACCTTTGAGTGCACAATGCAACAAACTTACAATTAGGAATTTTGTTTTGAAGGACTGCAGATGGTTTCAGTGTCTTTCCAGGCAACCTCAGTACAGGAAGACTGTCCAATGTCTCCCTCCTGCAGAATGACTATTTCCTTACAGTGTATTTTTTACGTTGATATGTGATCACTTTTGGAAATTATTTGCAGTTTCTAGTCCTGAGGACCGAGACTCTCTTGTTCCACTTCTAATACTTGCATTCCAGCAGAAAGCTGAAAGAATGTATCCAGGACGGCTTCAAAATAGCCACTTTGGTATAAGGAGAAATTACCTCCTCTTACATTCTGGTGATGTGCTCTAGTGAGAGATTCCTGGTCCTGCTTTGCGCTGAGCTGTTGGGAAGCCTTGCCTTTTTGGCATTACAAAGATACATGTTCAGACATTTGCTTGGCTATGAAAAGATAATGTTCTAAATCCTTTATTCTTTGTTCTGTAGAGCTGTCCTCTTATATCCTGCTATCTTCTCTCTATTAACAAACCTGAAATGCAGTGTATGGATTTATGAAAAGAAAAAACGTATTATGCAAGTAAATATCATTCAAATAGCATAAGCATGTGTGAGAGATGAAAACTTGTTTGACTTTGAGGGGGGAAAAGAATATGCTGTTAAACGTATGTCTGTGCTTCTTTTTAAGGTGTAAAAAGATGGTTCCTGCGTCAAAGAGGTATACGATACATCGTTCTTCCAACGTTCTCACAATATCTCTGAAAAGATTTGCGAACTTTACAGGTGGAAAGATCAACAAGGTATATTTATAGCTGTAGTGCAACTTCATCCCCTTGGAATGGGAGATTTTCCAAAGATGAATACTCCTTTAAAAGTTGTTAATGTTTGCAGGCAATAACTATAGACTAATAACTATAATCTAAGAAAAGTCGGTATAACAACTATGGCTTCTTCTTTCTTTTTTAATAAAATAAAATTCCTGTCTGACCATAAGAATATGTCTTACTCTTAAAGAGCTAATTCTGTAGAAAACAGTTCTCTGCAACTTAAATTATTAAACATTGTTTATGAGAATAGATGTGTTTAAATCAATCAAAAAATATAGTCATATAATCCTAGTCTATGTTTTTAGAAGTGTTTTTCTTGGGCTGTTCCATGAAGTATTTCAGGATAATTTTTGAATCTTCTTGGTCTGTGTTTAGGATGTAAAATATCCTGAATATTTGGATCTTCGAGCCTATATGTCCCAATCAATTGGAGAACCACTCATCTATGCTTTATATGCAGTTCTTGTACATAGTGGTTTCAACTGTAACGCAGGACACTATCTCTGCTTCATAAAGGTAGATATCAGCTTGATTTCTAACAGAGTAAAATCTGTGCTGCCAAAGAAATTAAAATGTTACTGGTAACCGCTGTTTTTAGGAGAAAAGGTTGCATTATATGTTTTGTTTGATTTTGTTTTGGTATGTTTTGTTCTGTAGTGTTCTATCTCTGGTGTCATTTGGAAAACATGGAATTCGTCTAAAGATATCACTGTCTTTATTTGCAGGCCGGTAATGGACTTTGGTATCGAATGAATGATGCCTCAGTAGACCTTTCTGATATCAAAACAGTTCTCAATCAGCAAGCTTATGTACTTTTTTATATCAGGTAATAACAAATACTAAATGTATTCAGAATATATTTACTTTCCTGTTACTGGTATTTTTCTTCTTTTCAAGTGTTTTTCTTTCTGTCGTAGGAAAAGATTACTGTTCGTATAATTCAGTTCTGTCTAACCTGAAATTCCCCGTGTCATTTATTATCTTTCATTGGTTGGCTTTAAACTGCTGCGCTTGTCTACATTGCTATATCTCTGCTCTCTGTAGCTGGCTAATTTAGAAGAGAGGAGAAATTAAGGCCATAGATGGTGTAAAGATGAGTTATTGCTCTGAAAAGGATAGTCTTTGTAGGAAGACTATTATCTAATTTTCAGTTTGTTGTCTTGGTTAAGTCTTGTGTATGTCTTCTGTGTCATATAAACCGTCCCTATAAAATTATAGGATGGGGTTTAATCCAAAAATAAGCTGAAAGAAAAACTCTAAACTAACCTCTTTTCCCAAGGCGCTATGATTTGACACTTGGAGAACGTGCTTTTTACTTACCAGCACCGTCTTACCCCCGTTCATTCCTTGGTCAGCGGGGAGCTAATAGTAAGCAGGCTGGATTTATGGGACCACGACTTCCTCCTCATATGATTAAGGTAATTTGGCAGGGGGGGAGATAATGGCACCAAATTGATAGTGGTTTTTGGTCTTGGTGTGGTATTTTTTTTGCTGTTGTCTTTTAGCATCTGAGTTTTATTTTCCTTCCCACACTGCAGCTTTCTTCACAGCCCTCATGCTATAGCCAGAACTATTTAAACAGTGGCTAATCCTAAATTGTGCAGCCGTGCTACTTCATTACTTTATACTTCCAACTCAGCTTTCTAAAGCACTGAGAACTATGCTCTTGAGACAACTTAAGTAGTCCATTAATGCTTAAATGATAACAATAATTAAACAAAAAGGTAAAGATTTTTTCCCAACTTCAGTTGAGACAGTGAAAACAAATTGTCTTGTTCCTGAGTACCGGAACAATTATCCCAGTGTTTTCAGGGAATGGTTAAAGGGGAAAATAAATATATTTGGGAATAGCTTTAGTCAATGTTGTTTGGGTGGGTTTCAAAAACAATGCTGATTTAATACCAACATGCAGTAAGCCAAAAGCAGGAATTAAACACACTTGTTGGACTTCTATTTATATTTGAAGGGGGGTGTTTTTTCTTCTTAGATGTTGAGGCATTTGTAGAAATATTTAGTAGGAGAATTTCACTATGGCCATCTTGCAATCTCTTCTTTTTAAATACAGAATTCAAGTCGTTTAAATGGAAATGGACCCCTAAAAGAGGATGCAAATACCGTTGGTGTGACCGTAAAAAGGCCGTCTTCAGCTCCACCAACAGCTTGTGTTCAAAATTGGGCAATTACCAGGCCTTCAATTACCGATCCATCAAAAAACCAGAAGATCACTATCAGTATTCATAACAAATTGCCTGCATGTCAGACTGTGTCGCAACTTGACTGTCTTAGCAGTGCTGCGGAGGATGAGGATCTAAGCAAGCCTGTTCCTTCATCCACAATTACAAATTCTTCTGCAGCAGAGTCTACCTCAAATGCGTCTACAATGTCAGTTGCTACTACCGTTTCCAAACAGGAAGTTCCTGATGAAATTTTTGTTGAGCCAGCAGTGAATGGAAATCCCAGACTCGGCTCTGATAACGCAGTCCCTTACGGTGCAGAATCTTCAGGAAAATCTGAGGAGTCGAAGGGCTTGTTTAAAAGGAATTGCAACATAATAACTTCTAATGGAATTTTGATTGGAAAGGTGGTCCGTACATTGCAGAACTCCCATTCTTCCTGTCAGAATGCTGAAGAAGAAAGATCCCAACACGAGCTGCCAAAAAATGATTCACTAAATGGTGCTATTAGTTTAGATAATGAATCTAAAGAAAATGGACTGAAACTTGATGATTCCACTTGCCAAGTCCAACCTGTTAAACCTTCTGAGATTTTCTTTTCTAAAACAAATGGATTGCTTGAAACAGTGAGTTGTGTTTGTTCTGTCTAGAATTTCTCACCTATGATGTATTCAATATTCAGGAGCATTAAAGTGTTCCTAACTCATGTGAAATACCGAGAAAACACATGGCGCAAATTTCATCGTAACACTTTGTGCTTTTATCCCATTAGAATTTGCAGAGCTGAGCTGACATATGAGAACATGTCAACTTAAGAGAAGTTCATCTGAGATAACAGTTCATAAGTTTCATAAATATATTTGGGGGGTGTCAGTAGGGTGATATGTAAAATGGGTATAGCGCATGTAACTCAAAGTGATCTTGTTTAACATCTAATGTAGAAATTTTGCAAATGGTAGTTTTCTACTAAAGATAGTATTTTTTCTCTGTTAACTTCTAAATTTTAATTGTAGATGCCTATAGCTATGTCGCCGGTTCCTCAAGAAATCATCTTAGAATCTCTCACATACAGCCAGTTAAACAGCTTGTCAGAGGAAATAAGGTAAAAGGAATACACTCTGATTAAAATAAGATGTCATACAAGTTTATCATTGTTTTACCTGTCTACTAATACTATTTAATAGAAAGATTTAAATCACTACAGAGAATTCAACACTGTACATATAGTCTTGCAAACATCAGCACTGAGCATATATTATTCTGATATTAAATACAGGCAGCTGCCTTTTGGAAAACTTTTGTTTCTTCACAGAATGTTTTTCCATTTTTTCCCATGGTCTGGAATACTTTTCCTATTCCTGTTTCTCTTTTTTTCCCATCCTAGGGTGGGTGAATGTAAGTTCCCACCATCTGCTCTCCAATTTGTGAGAGAGCGGGAAATCCATGTGTTTCCTTTTTTCTAGTTGGGGGAGAGCAAATTTAGCTGTTCTGGCTATTGATCTGATTCAGAGCAGCAAGGGGAGGGAGACAGTTGTGCTGAATGTGGGGGGTTTTTTTAATGCAATACTTGCAGAATCAAGAGGGGAAAACACACCTTCTCTGGGAGCTGAGGAAGGCGTAAGAATAGGTTTCTGAAGGGAATGCTGTTTAGAGTTTTCCAGCAGCCACCAATTTATTTATTTAAAGGGATTTTACTCCTAACACTCATCTTTTAAACAGACTTTTTCAAGTAAAAAAACATGTTTTTATTTTGTGCAGTGTCCCTGGACCTCAGAAATCTTCTGAGAATGATGCTCTTATGGAAAATGTAGTGATGGAAGCACTGTTTGCCTATGAAGAATCCAGGAAGGTTCCTTCCAACTTTAGCTGTGAGGTTGAGAATCTTTATACTCAATCAGGTTCTGAAACCATTTCTACCAAAGAAGAAGTTGCTGAAAGTATTATAACAAAAGCTGATAATGCACATCCCAATATCAATGGTCAGCACAAGGTCAGGAAAAAATCCATGGACACTGAAGACGAATTCCTTGGGCAGTGCGAGTCTGAAGATAGTAGAGACAAAGACAAACCAAGAAGATCAAAAGAACCTGAACTCATTTCAAAAGAAAATCCTTTGTACATCAAAGGGTCTCCTGAGAGCGAAGAGAAATTAGGGCAAGCTTCCTCTATAAAGTCTGACATTGAATGTAGTTCTAAAAAACTTGCATCGCTAGATATTACAGATAAATGCCAAGATACAAAGGACATTTCTAATAACTATGTAGAGGTACCACCTGTTAATGACTCTTCTATCACGAAGCTGGATAAAGTTTTGGAGAGCCAATTTTCTAGAGAAAACGAGGGATTGAGTAATAAAAAATGTGAGGATGATAAACATAGGAAAAAATATAAGAAAAAAATACACGAGACTAAAAAAACTGACAAAGAGCACTACCGAAAGAAGAGAGAGAACTCAGACACTGAGGAGAGGGAGAAGGAAAAGCAAACCAGAAGCAAAACAGATGATCATTCCCACAAGAGGAGGTGCTCTCGCAGTGTGGAAACAAATAAGCAAAATCGTCATAAACAGGAATATTGCAATGAAAGCAGGTACAGATCTTCCCATAATGAAAGAAACAGTCCAAATAATGGCAAAAGCTCAGGAAAATATTCTCGCTACAGATCCCGAAGCAGAGAAAGAACAGAACAAGACAGGAATAGGTATTATCATTCCAAAGGAGAGAGAACTTGGAGCAGAGAAAGATACTATCAAGATGAACCACGGCGATGGGAAAAATGCAGATACTACAATGATTATTATTCCTCTTACGGAACAAGAGATGGTAGAGAGAGAAAGTCCTCTCATTGTGATAAAGACTTTGACAAATCGAGTCAAGCTTACAACAACAGATCACATAAGGATTATCATTGCAAAAGCAGATGGCCTCACAATGCACCCTCTAGAGAAGACGATGTACATCACTTTAGCAGCCACAGAGCAAACTTGCATCATTGTTCAGTACCTCAGCAGCAATCTGAAAAATATCCTCGTGAAAGGCATGCGCTTCCACCTGTGTCAGCTCATTCCAATTTCGAGGACTCTTCCTGGGAAAATGAAAAAATAAGAAATGGTAAAAGAAAATACACCCACACAGAAGGAATTGGAAGCGGAAGCGAAATAGAAAAGAAATGTCGAAAGATAGGTGACCAAAGAATGAAAAAATACAAGAAGGTCAAGAAGAAAAAGAAGTCCAAAGATAAACATCGAGAGAAGGATTACAAGTAAGCAAGGATTCCAGCATAATCAGCAATTTTTTTCCTAATTCTTTTCTGGGTGTTTCTCATGTCTGCCTTTTTTTCATTGTTTCTAAGTTACTTATATAGCATAATCTGGCTGGGGATCATGTCACTAGGTTGGTCAAGCGAAGATAGGAAAGATATTGCGGAATTGTGTTAGAAAACTAGATCTGGACCACGTAGTTAGAATCACATCTGTACACCGTTCCTGATTAGGTTACAACAATTTTTTTTTTTTAATTCCACATATTCCACAACTAGCCACTGTTAATGATTTGTGTACAAACCAGGACCTATTGTCCTTCAATCTGAGGGCTTAAGTTTGCTGCATCTAAAGTAAGTTAGATGTGCAGAAGTTACCACAAAATAGCTGACACGCTGCAAGTCATCACCTGTGGTAAAATAAATAACGTTTCATATATGCATCAAGTGCCACATCTGTTTTTCTATTTTTAACTTGCATGTTTCCTTCAGACTTTATGATTTGGATTTCTCTGTGCTCCGCTTTGACAATGACAATCGCAAACATAAGAAAAAGAAGAAAAAGAAGAAACACATCAGGAAACTGAAAGACTTCTTGGAATATTTAGATCCTCATTTCCAGAAGAAAACACGGGAGAAGAAGGAAGAATCCTGTCCTCCAGGCGGCTATTTATGTGAGCAATACAGAAACCAGGGCAGTAAAGAACCCTACAAGGAAGGGAAGCCTTCCAGTGCGGGTGAAAGCAAGAAATACAGCTCCCTCACATCCAATGAGTATGTGAAAGGTAAGGGGCCACAGGATGTTTGCAGGACTCCTTTTTATTCACATAGACGCTATTATGTGAAACAATCTTTAAATGCTTGTGTGATAAAATTGCTGCTTTATAGCATGGTTTCCAAACAGTCTGCATTAATATAAAAAAAGCTGATCGGCTTTTTTTTTTTTCCATTTTTAAATGACTGCTAGGAAAGAAAGTCTGAAGTAAAACTGAAGGGGTTGAAGGGCAAGTAATTTTAACTTGATCTGATGGCTAAGTGGTGAACAAGTGGGAGAGATGCAAGTTGCCGTAGTAAATTCAGTCCAACTAACTAGGGAAAAAACCCTTGGGCAGCTATATCTTGACAAAAGAATCTAGTTGGTAGACAGGAGGTTCAGTAGTTGAGATGGAAGATGAGACTTCCAGGCTAGTAATATTGTAGTGAAACACTCTTCCTAGAAAAGACTGCCAGAGTAATCGATTTAAATAAAATACTATGTTCAGCTATTTTGTAACATAGAAACAATGCTGACTGCTTACTCAGAGTAACATAAGTTGGTGATAATACTGAAATGTTGCTGTTTAAGATGTATCTGCCTTCTCTTAAGCACACTGAATTCACAGTTGTTAACCCTCCAGAGTTTAACACCTGGAGAGGATGTTAAATTTCTGCTATTGACTTATTTACTTGTGGGGTTTTTTTGCTGTTAGTATAGGCTTAAAAATACAGAGAAGTGGGCGGATGAAACAGCTCTTTCCCAATTATGAATATTAAGAAAAGTCAGTTTGGTGCTTCTAAAACAAACAAACAAACAAAACCACAAAAAAACCCCCAAAAAACCCAAACACAAAACCCAAACCCAACCCCTAAATACAAACTTGAGTGTCTGATTGAATTTACACCGACCTCTCTGCTGTTGCTTGTCATAGGCCCGACTTGGGCTCTCAGTAGATAATACAGTTTAAATTATTTAGCTCTAGAATTATGCAATGAGGAAGATTGCACACTGTAATAAAGTCAAAATTAAATTTGACAACATTTCCCGTGAAATTTTTCTGAACAGGAGTGTGTGTTATAAAACTTTCTTAAATGCCCGCTGTCTGACATAAAGCCAGTCCCGGTTACTCGGATATTTTACTAAACAAACACACCCCCAACCATATATTTTATTCTTACAGATAACTGAAGTAATCTGTTAAGAAGACAGCTTGGTATCCAAAAGCAAGTTTTGTTTTTAAATTTTCTACATTTTATACCTACCCACAATTTAAGAATTGGGTTAGTAGTCAGTGACAATCCTGTTCATTAAAAGGCCAGTGTTGAAAATGTCATTCTGGCATAAAAAACAAAAGAATTCAACTACTTGTAATACAGCTGAATACATTTCACAATTTGGAGATGTTTAATCTTGGAAGAGATTTTTAATTCTCAAAAATTTGTGGTTTCCACATTGAGGTAAATTGCCACAGTCAGTAGATTTTTGCACTGAATAGTTTGCTTAAGGCAAAGAAGTGCATTTGTGGAAAAACAGTGATTGTATTTTAGGACATAGACAACCAAAAATTTTATTCTGAAAATATAGTGTGGGGGGAAAGCTGATTGCTCACACACTCTTCTTGTAAAATTTAATATGGTATTTATCTCCTTAACAAGGAAACTTTGAGGATGACTGAAGTAAGGTCTTTTAAATGCTTTAAACATGCTTCTAAATGTTGTAAAAATAGACTTTTTAATGATACTAATGTCAAAATACTCTTTACTGCAGTAAAAGTGTCTCCGTAACAGCCGACAAATCGGGAACCAAACAGAACAAAACGCATCTGCTCTAATACTCCTTTGGCTTTAGTGAATTCTCTGGCCAGCAGATGGCAAACTCGTGGGTGTTTTTTCTAAACCACATAAAAGTGTAGTAAGAAAGTAAAGGTCTTGCATCTCATTACACAAGTCAGGGGCATTAAGATTACTGCGTTTGTTGATAAATACGACAACACTACTCCACTTTGTTACACTACTGGCAACACAAGGGCTGTGAAAAACAATTTTTTTAAGTCTTGAGAATTTTAGTATTTCATCAAGTGCATGGATGTTAATTAGCTTCATCTTATGGAAGGTCAATCTTTCTTTTAAAAATGGGTCTCAGGTAGGATTTTCTGAGTGATGGAATCTAATCTCAAAAAAGGCCCCTTTGGCAGTGTGTTCTTAGAGAATATTGAGCCTCTCAAGATAGGGCCAGACTAGCAACTGAGAAGGAATTGTTAGGTTGTGCCTTTTCACCAGGACTCATGTTACTCTGAATAAATTAATAAGGATGAAAATTGCTAGTGATAACTTGTAATTTAAGAAAAATCAAGATAGGATGGGAGAAGCAGCAGCTTTAGAGCAGTTACTTTCCTACATTCCTACCTGTGTTCTCCAGCAAGTTTCTGAAGATTGTGTCAGCTTGACCACAAGCTTGTTAGTAAAACAAGGATACTGTCTAGGGCAAAACTTCAACTAAATTTAATTTACCTAAGGTCTACCGTTTGCTATTAAAGCAGGTAGCTTTGTCATAATACTCTGTACAGTTCAACCATCTTAGCATGGAACTCAAATGCAGTTTAAATGTGAGGAAGCCACCTCCTTGAGGCAGTTGGATCCTGTGGTCCCAGAGCAAGTGTAGTAGTGTGCGGGTTTGAGGCTTCTCTTTCAGAAATCAAACCACTGAGACATACTTTGTTGAATGTCATGCCAGGGAGTGACATTGCTTCCTTTTGTCTTTCAGATGCGGAGCTTACTGATGGAAGCCTTCAGTACTCAAACTAAACCTACCATCAAAACCAACAACTTTTTACCATCAGACCTGACATTACCAACATTGACCATCAAAACTTAAAATTTATTATCAAAACAATTACCATCAAGACAAAATCCAGTCATAAGTGGTGCTTAACATTTCTGTACAGAATTTTATCATGAAAGAACTTTTTTTTAGTTTTTAACTTGAGACTTTCTTTTTTAAAATATACTTCTAATCCAAAAGGGTGGAAACTTTTTACAACTGCTGAACATTGTAAATTACCACATAAGTATCTCACTGATGTGAGATAATGCCCTGGAATAGACCATCTCAAATGCTGCTTAATTACAGACTCAGGTTGACTTTATGTTATTCATGTAATGTTACTCCAAGTTAGACATCTGGTGCAAGAGCGACCAGGAATTATAAAAATTGCAACTGACAGTCTGTATATTTAATTTAAAGACTTATTTAAAATTTCACAAGCTCTCAAATAACCAGAGTTTTGCAAGAGCTGCATCTCTTTTCTGTGATGTCTGACACTAGAAACTAATTTACTTCACATCTGAGTTATATTCAAGATCTGAAGAAAATCTTCTGGTTTTCAACATTGTGAAACAACGAATATGCAGTTCTGAATGTATCTCTCAAGACTATTTGTATACTCTTCCATATGTTTTTATTACATTTTCTTAATATACTGTCACTTGTCTTAAGTCTCAGTTGTCTGTTTTGTCTCTCTAAAGTGTCTAGTTACAGACAAATTCATACTGTGATTTTTATTTTTATTATTAAATGCTATCAAACTGTGATGCACTTATTATTCACTGGTCCTGCATCAGGAGATGAGTGGGGAACCTGTATTAAATACAGTTCATCTGAATAATCTGTCTGGTTTATACAAGCTGTGTTGTTCAGAGATGTCTAAAGTTTGATCTTTGTTTTTTTAAAGATAAAAAAGCACTTGCCCCACTGTAAATATATAGCATGTAAAATTTATATAGTATATAAATACAGCAAAGTTAAAATGGATTTTTACTTGAGTTTTACTTGAGTTATTTAACATGCAATATGTCATGTGAATTGACAGCTTTCAGAGTGTGTTTGATACTCAAGATATCAGATCTTCCTTTCAGTGGTAGGTGAGAAGATGCTGTCGGTGTGACCCAGAGAAGATAAGTAACTTGGGACTTCAGCTGCCTAGACAAGAATGCAGAAGGCTTTCTCCTTTGAAGTTAAAAGCTTCCAAAACCAGGCAACAGGTTGGAAGCTCAGCAGTAGCTTTTTACTGTGTGTGACACAAAAAAAAAAAAAGGAGCAAGGTTAATGTTTTACTAAATACTTAAAGTAATATTTTGGTACATGGAGAACACCATAAAGCCAAACCATAAGTGTACCCTGCATAATGTTCCTATGGCAACAGTTATGTGAAGTTACATAAAGTAACATGACAAAGAAACCACCTACCTTTCCTGTATCTGGCTTTTTTTTCCTCTTTTGTCCTTTGGCTCCAAGATTTGGTGTCTTGTCTTTTGTCCGATGAATAACTCCGGCATAAATGTACAAAAGGAGTTTAAATGTTGACCGCTTTACCTCCAGAAGCACCAACTGCCTGAACTAGCCAATAAGCGGTAAATGGAGGGAGGGCAGTTAGTGACAGCTTCAGATTAGAGCTATCGAGAAGCAGACTGGGCAACTGCAGCAGCGTTCGCTATTTCTAATTGGCAGAGGTCTAATTAATCTACTTGAGGAGCAGAAATCCAATTCCCCCCACACACACGTACGCTTACATTTGTCTGAAACTCATGGAAGGGAACTGACAAAATGCCTCCTTAATTTAGGGTGGCTCTCAAGGGAAACCAGCTCTTAATGGAGTGAGCACTCCTCACTGTAGCATACTGTACTGAAACAATTTATTCTGCAGCTAAGTGTCTCTCTGAAAATTTAAACCTGATAATTTAAATTAGTGTGTCTAAAGGTAGGGAAAAGAGGCCTTTTACTTACAAGAGCAGTTATAACACATGCTGTAAAATTAAGCCTTAAGCTCTAAAATAAAAAAAAAAATCAGCAATTGCTGCCCATGTATTCTTGGTAAATGAGGAGCTATACAGTACTATAGTTTCACGCTTTATTTTTGAGAAAAATCTCCAGATGTAAGCAACAGGTCTTAATGATAAATGAAAACATTAATATTGCAGTGGATTTACACAGGACATTGTATTTTTAACAATGATTGATACAGAGTATTTGTCATGCAAGTCACTTGTGTACACCAAGTAATACTTATATCAATACATATCTGTACAGTATTTACATTTTATATTTAAACTCTAGCTAGAAACATTTTCCAAGAAAATATAGAAATGAAACTGGTAAGCCACAAGTCTTAATTTGTAGCGTTTGGTCTACAACAGACCTAGCTTTTCCAGCAAGCATATCTACATAGATATGTAATAAATCTTAAAAATATGTATTGTCTTTCTATATGAAGCATTATAAATGCTGCTCAGTTTACAAAGGTTCAGTTTTGTACCAGTTTAAAACGGTTCAAAATGTTAAGTGACATAGAGCTTACTTTGTCAGAATATTGTAAAATTTAAGTCAGTCCAGCTGAGCTTAAGTATTATATACAGTTCTCTCCCTAGACTGCACTGGCAACGTGGCCGATGTTAGCGGCCAAATGGTGTAGACGCTGAGCGGAGCCATGCACGTGGCAGCAGCAGCAGCGGCTCTGGCCGGCCCCTGCAGCTGTAAAGGGCAATGGTAAAACCAAAGAGCTGAAGAATTACGTGAGTTTCAGTGCAACAGGAAGGGAGAAGTCTGTCGTCCCCAGAGGACTTTTCCTCAGCATGGCCAAACCGTAACAGATACTGCTTTAGGCCACCGAGCAGCTAGTCTTGGTAGCCACCCCTGGACTTGAAGCCCAATAAAAAAGGGAAAGGTTGAGAGATTTTTTCTTCACCCTCATGGATAGTACCTGATTTGGCCAAAATTTTCACCAGCCACTTTGTTTTACTGGCCTCGTGGCTGGTGGAAATTTTGGGCCAGTTTCACTCCCTGTTAATACTGTTACAAAGAACATTTGAAATCAAAGATTATCACACACAAGAATGCTATTCCATTAGCTTTGGTAAATTAAATAGATATATTGAGCACCACAAATAGCTGTTTAAGGTGTTGCATTTTAATGCTAAGAAATAATATTTTTCCTGCTATAAAATCCTCAGTTACATGTTACTCTAAATAATTATTTCTGCCAGATACAAGAACATCAAACTACATACAGCAAATGAACTCTCAAGGCATTTCCTTCATGCTTATAGGCAGACACCCTCACCTGGCTAAATAAATATATTTTCTTGAAGGTGATATTTCAGAAGATAAGAGTTGATACAAAAGTGCTTCATGGCTTATGAACGCTTCTATAATCTCACATTTCTCCAGAAATACTTTATTTGCTGCTCTTCACCTTTATACTCATTAGTACCACTGATTCTGGCTTATCACTATTTGCATTACGAGCCTACTTGTCCAAAGCTGAAACTGATGTTTGCATTGCTTGAAAACAAAACTTGAAGTTGCAGAACAGAAGACTCAAGACAAGCGATGTTAGTAGCTCTGTAATCATGCTGCTTTGCCAGTCTAGGACATACAACTTAATTTGTTTCTATAAAGAGTTTAATTGTGTTCCATTAAGCAAAGATATCCCCACACTGATCCTTATTCAAGGACTCGACCTTCTGTGGTTGTGTTTTACTCCCTTGAAAGTACCCAGATTTAAACATTCACCCAAAGAGACTGCAATTCCACACATTCTGGGGAAAATCCAAGGTGTAGAAAAGTTTACTTTGTTCTCTTCCCCTCGGCTTTTTTGGCAAACATGCAATAAAGCAAAACTTTCACAGGCTGACACCCCATGCAAAACAAGGCAAATTAGTAAGACAGGAACAATGAAACAGACTCTCCCTTACAGTTAACAGGATCAATTTAAGTCTGTGTTTTTGCCAGTGCAGCTCATTTCCCTATACTGTATCCAGAGATGCCTCCGTAACTCCAGCAAGCGGAATTGCTTTGACAAAGTACCGGGTCTCCAAAGCATTCATGGGCACAGGAGGCATGGCTCAGGTTCAACAAGTTTGTGGAAAACTGAGAGCTAGCAGAAGCAGTAGGGTCCAAAATACCACTTTTTGCCCCCATTGTGGAATTAGGGGCTTTACGTTAAGAATGGCATGTACACTATCCATAGAAAAGAGTTGTAGTAAAATCTGCAATAACAGCTTACATGAAAGACTATCAGTAGGACCACAAAAAGATCTTCCACCAATTACAAAAAGAACAAAAAAAAAAAAAAAAAGACAAACGTGCTTGTGGAAGAGTTTAGCTGCACTAGGTAACTGACGTGTAAGATTTTATTTTGGAAGTAAAAATAAGGTTGTCTATTCCTTTTTTTCAATTTCAACTGCTGAAGCACAGATCTGAAAAATCGCCTTTAAGAATGCAATAAAAATACTGAACTTTTCTGTACGTCCAAAGTTTTTTATCAAGCAAAGGAATGAATCCTGCTTGCTCTAACTATCTAGGGCTGTATCTTACAGAAAGATTTCACCTTCCTGGCTTTTCCCTTTAAAAACATTAAATGCCTGTGAAATTAATTGGGGGTGTTTTCACATGCAAAGCCTAAACTCATGCAAGCCCTGTCATCTTACTCCGTTAGTAGTAACTTAGTGTTAATTAAACTACAACATATCTAAAACATAAGAAGGATGTTACTATATAAAAAGCAGATTAAACCTGTCATTAAATACTACTGCTTATTGTGAGTGTATGAGCAGACAGGAATGACTTTTAGCCTACTGGCAAACATCAAACCACATCTGTACTTAGTGTCATGTCTACAGACTCAAACCTTTGCTGTTGGGACCTGCGCATATTTCAGTGCGTATCAACCAAACCCTTTGGCACAACTAGTTAACTACGTAGCTGCCAGTCTACCGCTGAGTTGCATTTCTGAAGAAAAGCTATTTCCATAAAGGT